TGTTGCAGTTAAACAATGCACAAGTCGTCAAATAAAGCGCTTGCATTCATAATAAAACGCAACGCCGCGCGTCTTACGTCATCCGCCGGAACTGCTTCAGTGTATGACAGTCAGCGGAAGTGAGAGAAAAGTGTTTATTACGTTTGAAATATGGATATTTTTCTTACAAAAACTCATGGATTCGCTACAGGGGGCCTTTATTCATCCCCCGGAGCCGTCTGCGGCACGTTTTATTATGAATGCAAGTGCTTTATTTGATGACTTGTGGACTGTTCAAATGCAACACCCGCTGACTGCAATGATAGAGCTTGGAATAGCCAGGACAATTTTTTATGTAACTCAGACTGGATTCGTCTGAAAGAAGAAAGTCATATACACCTAGGATGCTTCGAGGATAAGTAAAACACAAGCTAATTTTCATTTTTGGGTGAACTAACCCTCTAAAGAATTGTACAGTTTGCTCTTTTCTATGCAATTATAATAAAAAGAATTGTTGCAAAGAGTTACGACGTCTTATTTTCACAATTTTCAAATAAATACATCAATCCAGTTTAACAGTCTGAATGATTTATGAATCAGATCTTTCCAATTAATCACTTGATTTAGTTCATAGTAGACCTTAGTTCACTGCTAAATGGAATTTAACAACAGTTTTTACAGTGGCACACACTGTATAAAAGTTCTAGATCACATAATTTTCACAACTCGCAACTTTCACCATTGTTTTATGGAGTTTCTGATTACTGTACGTCTACACCGTGTCTACACTGGATGCGGCGCAAAGTGACACGACAAATCCCTGACAGTAAACTGATGCCTCGTTCTATTTATGATGTACTGACACAAAGTTCAAATGATTTGCAATGGTCGCTTTGTGGCTTCCAGTGTAGACAGACTTTAGCTGTTGCAGCGCGGTGCGACACGACAACTTTCGCATCTGGTGTAGACACGGTGTAAGTTTTTTTTTCTCAGAAAGACGTTTTGTCAGCTGAAAAATCGATATGTTGTTAAATAACAGTGCAATCTCTTGAACGCACTGCATTTCTATCCCTCACAGCCTTGTTTTCATTCCTGTCAGAAATGTTGGCACTACCCTGGCTACAGCCTATTACCGGTTTAAATTATTTGTTTATAAATCACACTGATCATGTTCTTCTGAACTTTCTCTTTAGTGTTGCATGGAATAAAGAAAGTCATATGGGGTTGGAAAGCCATGAGGATGAGTAAATGATGACAGAATCTTAATTTTGGGGAATTTTCATTCCTTTCATGACTCGTGTTTTGATTTTTCCATCTTCTAGGACGGTCTCCTGAAAGATATCTGTCAGGGGTCTGATGTAGCCTGAAAACTATTTCAAGCATGAAGATTTTTGATATTTTTGGTTCTTCACAGATGTTGTCCTTCTTCTTATCTGTTTTACGTTACATATGTTAGTCTGCGGGGAGGCGAGGTGGATGTGAATAAAAAGCAACACCACAGTTTTATACCAGAGATATGCCACTTTGATTCAGATTTTTTGCCATCAATTATCTCTGGAGAATTTCCGTATCTGATTCTTTTAGCTTGTTCCCCCTTCTAGCACATCATACTGGATGGTGTGCCATGCTTTTCAGTTTTCAGTCGCTTCGCTCTGTCACTATCTCTCTTTCTCTTCCTGCTTCTCACAGTCTCAGCAGGCTGTCTTGTCTCTCAGCGTCTCTTTGTCTTCACACTCACGCTCTCTATTTCTTTCTCTCTCTGTATTTGTCTCCATCAGCAAACCACCAGGCCCACATTCTTCGCAAGGAAGTTTGAAGCCAGTGTAAATCAAGAGATAGTGAATCAGCTGGACGTCTTCCTGTTCGGGAGTATGCCCCAGGGCACGCCGGGTCTCAAGGCCTACTGGGAGAATGTTTTTGATGAAGTGGATGGTATTCACAGCCTGTCCGACGCGCATCTCACTCACTATCATGCCTTCGCCCGATTAGGTCTGGCACGGACTGCCAACTCATTACAGGGTGACACCAGTGACAACAGCTGCAGGTCAGTACACATTTTCCTTGAAGTGCAAAATGAGTTGTCAGGATTTGCTCTTTGCGTTTAGGTGATCTAAATCTATTGTTTTGACTTGTTTGGGGTTTGCCATTGGCTTTTGTTGAATGGAAAAGAGCAGCTTGCACCTTTCTGAAAATCAGTGGGTTTACGTCAGGACCCAGATTTTACACTGGAAATCGTGAGACGACTTAAATCGCTGGATGGTAATTGAATGATGATGAATTCATACTCTGCAATCAATAATTCATAATTGCACATTATAGTCGACACAAACCGTTTTTTAATTCTCATTGCAAGAGAACTTGTTTTTAATGTAGTTTATGTTATTTTACCTTCAATAGGGTTGTTCATAGTTTTCAAGGATTTCCAGATGACATCTCATTAGCTAGATTCTAACAAGTGACAGATAAATTTGCACCAAAATTACAAAGAATCTGATTGGATGCACAGCTTTTGACGTTGTCGAGAAAAAATGTGAAATATTGTAGTAAAATTAATTTTCAATCATTTTTAAAAGTGATTTTAAAATTATAGATCATTTCATCAATAATATTAAATACTACACCCTCATTTTGATTATATATTTATAATAAATATAGTAAAGAATTGGTATTTCATTTAATGCATTTTTAGCCCAGTGTTTTAATACATTTTGACTATTCATTTAGTTTAATTTACTGTTAATTTTATTTTAACAATAATTTAATTAGTTGATTTTATTACTGTTGTACCCCATTAAAACCCATTAATATTTCTCCATTAAAACCTCCATAAATATGTTTGGACTTTGAAATATTTCAGAGATTACTTTTGACTTTGAATTTCACTTGAGTAATGATTCTGCAACTCGAGATCATCCTTTCTGATTGGCATCCCACCAATCACTGCTCTAAATAAATGATATTGTTTAAAACATCATTTCATTTCAAGTACATTGTTCCTCTAACATTTGTGTGTCCATGTTTTTGTTTATGTGGGTTTTTCATAGTAATAATTATGTTTTGTTTATAACCGTATTTATATTGGCATTCTGGCTGTTCTGAAAGCTAAAGAAGTGCACACTCATTTGTGCTGTCTGCCGAGGGAAGCGCGGCTTTGTTTGATCTCACTCGCAGCAGATCTGAAGTTCCTCAGCTGTCCAAACATCTGTCATTACTGAGATAGAGAAGAGAGAGAGACGGACGGACAGAGCCGAGAGAGTTTGTCAGTCTGGCTGCTGTGTTTATGTGTTTATCAGTGCAGTAATGCCTGACGTCGCTGCTGTTTCTGTGCGAGGAGAGCGCTGGCGCATTTAGACAAGTGAGCTACAGTATTTGGACCCTGCAGTATTTGGACTCATCAACACAAGGAGGCGGTTGTTGCTGGTTGGTGGGGGTTGGGTGGTGGCGCTCAGGGTCTGCGAGTGAGGCAGCGCTCTGTTTTTCGCAGGCCTCTGTGACATCAGCGGTTAGAGGCTGAGGTGGGCTGCTTGAATAGCTGCTCTGTTAGTCCCTGCATGCTGCCCACCTCCTGCAGTGACAGAGGACGGGGAAGGAGGAGGTGGGGGGTGCCGCACTGGTGTAAATATTTGCTGTTCTGTTTGTCAAGCAAGCGGTGCTGGAATGGAGCACCTCCAGCCTGTGCTGGAATACTGATGAGCGGCGGAGATCGCTGTGAGAGCAGCCATCCGCTCCGCATGGCCGCCTGTGTCTCTATCAGCTCCTGCTGCTCCTCCTTCTGTCTGTCTGTCTGAGTGTCTCACAGCCCAGCGCTTCTCTCACCTCTCTACAACCTCACGTCTAGAGAAAATAAACTTCACTCAGAATACAAAACTATTGGTTTGGTTGCTCAGAAGTTTTTTCAGGGTTTTTTGGGGGTGAAGAGCTTGTTAACAAAGCCAGAAGTAATTATGAAATACTGAAGACAATTACTAGTCGAATAACTGGTCTTAAGGAAGTTCTGTGTTGGTTTTTACAGTGCAAACTGTCTTAACAGTTTATAAAAAAAATATACACTACCGTTCAAATCTTTGGGGTCAGTAAGATTTTTTTTTTGTTTTTTTTTTTAAATAAGTCTCTTATGCTCACCAAGGCATTTATTTTATCAAAAATAAAGTAAAAACAGTAATATTGTGAAATATTATTTGTTTTAAAAAAATGTCACATGATCCTTCAGAAATCATTATAATATGCTGATGTGGTGCACAATGAACAATTTTGAAAACAATTGCAATGCTTATTGTTTGTGTGGAAATCATGTTTTGTTTTTTGTAAGAAGGGAAACTTTTTTCTTTTGAAATTTTATACATCTCTTTACTCTAACCTTTGATCAATTTAATGCATTGTTAAAGAATAAAAGTATTAGATTATTTCAAAAGACCCCAAGCTAATGAAAAGTAGTGTATACAAGGAAAAAATCTAGACTAATCTATGTGGGAGTATGTAATGTTGAGTCAAAATCAGTCTTTTGTCAAAAATAGTCAAAAATATATTTTTTCAAAAAATGCAAAACGCTTATATATATATCATTACCAGTAAGAAATAATATTTAAAAAAAATTCCCCAATGAATACGCCATTGGCAAATGTGGCAGAAGTTAATTTGGCTCCCTAAATGCAAGGGTTGTGAATTATTAAATGAGGGTTAAATGACTTCTTTTGTGCCTTTAGGTATTTTGCCATGGGACATCCTGTGTCTGTCCACATCTACTTCCTGTCTGATGAGTTCCAGGGATACCTGGTCAGGCATCATGCCACCAACCTGGCGACCAGCAAACTGGAAACCCTAGAGACCTGTGTCATGCCCAAACAGTTCTTCAGGTTCACCAATCCACCCAATACCTTCAACAGACTGCAGTTTGCAGAGGTTAGTAAACTCACGGTATTACAATACACACACACAAACACACTGGAGAGGAAATGTTTTTGTATATTCTGATAGTTAAGCGATGATGGGTAGCACATTTATGTATTTTCTGTTTGTCATTTTTATTCATGAACAAACTGTCATCGTGCAGTTTTTCATAAATAAAAGTTTTAAGACAATGTTTATTTTCTTCTGGCTCACTGCAGTAGAAATGTATTAGCAGTCTATAGGTGCAGAATCGCCCCCGCAGTACACTCAGAATGTATTCATTGCTAAGAAAATTGACCTCTGAATATTATTGGCAATCTTACACTGCTGCACATTGTGCTTGACATACTCTGTTAAACAACCAATAATTCAGGCGTTCTTCATTGATTTAGCTGTCAGGCAGCGCCATACCTGTCATCTTGCCCTTTGGCGTAATCAGTGATTTGTCTGCCACGAGTATGGGGATAAAATAATGACTTAACGCTGAACTGCCCTCAGTTTATCTGTTGGAAGCCAAGGGTACATGTTC